ATTAAGTCCTATCTTCTCTACGATAAGACAATAGGAAACGATTTAGTCTCCAGCTCCTTATGACAGTTTATATGACCAATATGCTTGACTGCACATTGTCTAGCAATTAACTGTAAATTTTCGATACAAATACTCGGATTAATAAACAAGTTCATTAGGGTCCTGTTGTAGTGCACGTCTATCATTGTCGTTACTTCACTCTGTCAAGAGGCTGCTCCAGACCAGTATGAAAATATGAGTCAGGCGCCGAGTGCCTATTGCCCAAAATACCCACCATCTCTTTCTTATTTCTTACTACCACTTTTAATATTCTTCTTGAGTCAGGTTCATTCTCGTTTCGTTTACCTAGTCCGATCACCTTTGAGATATACACTCCAAACAACGTTTCTAACAGAATGCCACGCTTTGAATATCGTTTCGCTTTGTTCATTTCCATTCGATAGGTCAATACTATGGTGTTTATCAGCAAAAAAAACAGCTTCCAAACATATCCTAACAGTGAACACAGTTCATTTAAGCAACTGGACTTGAAAATTGCTACTTATAAAAAGATAATCGTCCTCTTAACTCGGAAATACTTCCTGTTGGTGCTTCGTAGTTGTCTGGACTCTCCAACTTCTGTAGTGTCTGACTCTCTTCGGTGATCATTCACCAAGAAACATCTTCCTTCGTCTATACATACACACGAGTTTTCGGTTAGAGTTGATGATCAAGTGATAAAGAGTATTAAGTTCCTGGCGGTAAACTATCTCATGTGCCCTTTCTTCTTTTCGTCCCTTACGTAATTTGTATATTTTGCACAACTTAACTATAGCAGTACAGAAGAGACTAGGTTACAAGCTATAGCCGTATAACGAGGTCGGCAGACGGATAGGAAGCAGTCTGTACAGAAGAGTTGAGCGTGACAATGTCCCTAGCCTGCAGGATCCCTGTGTCAGTCATGTAGTCAGGGTGATAGTAGTACATACCTCGTAACAGCCCGTTGGTAAAAGACAAGAGGTGGGGGAAACGCTTATGTCGACGAGCGAGTAGACCAACACGCTATATTTCTGTAGTAGATATCTTGATTGAGAGTTAAGTTGTTGTATAGGGCAGCGTTGCAACTGCATTTTGATCCGGGTATGGCCTTTGAAAGTCAACACACTTAACATAGCTGCAGTATCTTTGGAGTTCAGAAGACACATTGCACTATTCTCCATACAGAAAGTTATTGTCTAGTGCAATGCACTAAAGAGATCATTGAGACAATAATCCAAGCATTCATCCACTATTTACTTGCTAACACTTGGGACGATGCTGTGCTACAATCTTTACTAACCTATCATTCTTCGATCCATATCTTTACAGGTTGTTTTCCTATTCTAGTCTGCTCAGATATAAAGACTCCACCTACCAGTTCAAACCTAAACACCTTTGTTACCATGTGAGTTTAAAGATTTCATTTCATACATTGTTGACTCTGAAACTCACCTCATGACTAAAGATTTTCTGTGGAGCTGCGGCTTATGGGTCTAGACAGTTGACTTTCAAGTGAAAACAGTCATACACCTACTGAGATATTGGTTCTAAGTGTATCATAAGCACTTATACAACAGGTGTTTCACTACCCAGCGCATAAATATTTACGTGGTTGATGAAAGCTGAGTTGATTATCGACACCGCACACGAAAATAATCTGTGTATCACCACAAAGATCCATTTGATAATTATTCCAATAGACTTTTGTTCTCCGTTCGTATCCGTGTTGTTTCACTGGACCAAAGACATGCTCTGGATCCCATCCTCGATAGGGGCTATACGGAATCATTCTTCCTTGCTCACTGACTAGTTACATTCTACTTCGTCTACAGCGATCACGAGGTGACGTCTTAGCTCCTTGCAACTACCTAAAACCATACCGTTTCATGTCTAAGCGTACCATCCCGGGCTTTTAAATACCTGTCGCTACCAGAAGTATCATTCAACAGGAAAATTACTTACGTGATGTCATAATCAGGCATTGAGACAGTTCTTTTGGAGAGTGAACAGTAGTAATGTGTTAGGTCCACGGTCCTCTCTGAAGGATCTTTTGCAAAGACTCCATAACAATAAGGCCAAAAGGGTTTTCCTGTTTTATACTCTCGTGCCTCTTCTAGATTGACTGCTTGCAGCACATTACTTGCCCAGTCAGAATACTTCGTGATCGTATGGGTCTGCCTCCATCTCCTTAGCCTGTAGAATATTTAGCGTACCTGAGAAGTCAAACAGATCTGCCATGTACTACAGGTAGTTCGTGCGTTTCTTGGGGAGGAGTAATTGGACTGTAAATGTGTTAGACGATGATCGTAGAAAAGTTATCTGATCCATCTGACGAAACTAAAATAGATTATTTTCTAACAGCTAAGTTAACCGGCAAGGTTGCAAACCGTCTGTTGCGCATGTCTACCCTCTGTTCGCTGCAGCACGCAAAATCACCCTGCATAAGATCAATTTAGAAAAAACAAGAATGACCACATCAGAATATGGTATTAGTCCATGGAATTTCTGAATATTGACCTAAGGTATATCTAAAAATGTAATTTTCCTGGTTGAACTCTCTGAGACAACCAAAAGCTGCGGTTATATATAAGTCAGTTAGTCACACCGGTGCAGATTCTGACTGACAAAATTAACGTAGAACCTCATACACGAGTGCATCAGCTCAACTTGCCACACTTAAACAGTAGTACACGGAATAGGCGGATAGAAAAAGTGGACAGAGTTGTGCCAGACATTAAACAATCTAAAGATAAAGGTTAGTGCGAATATTCAAGCTTTAGATGTCGAGGAGTGAATACATCTGTACCACTGCGACTGATTTCCATCCATGTCACCAAGAGTCCTCAACTACTGATTCCTTTCGTCTTGGGGACCACGCTAGTAAATTTGCACTCTTACACGAACCAGGTCAACAGTCAGTGACTTCATGAACTTGTGCCAAGTCTTGGTCTGGCTACACTGAACCCTCTTCCAACCTAGTTCAGCTTCCCGTAGCATAGCATGTCGAGGTGGGAGGTGGCACAGCATTCGCAGTATATTTCCAAGCCATCCCAGCCGATGAAGGTACACAATTTCATCAGTCAACCTACCTGTCCCGCGTAGTACGCTTCGCCTGACCTCAACATTGCTCACACAGTGATTCCACCAAACGCTAGCAATGCTACCAAGACACCTCTGATCAGAACCCTTTAATTGCTTCATGTCTTCCACTTTTAACGGCCATGTCAGTCGCGTAACTTAACAGGACGGATTGCAGTGGAGTAGTATACTGGTCTTGTGATAGGTATTCGGATATTTCACCGACTAACGTGTTCTATCGTTATGTAAACCATACTATTCGTGTTATTATTGCTTATGCTTTTTTCTTTTATGAACTTCCACCTTGATATGCGGTGATAATCCATTACATGTTAGTGCTAGGCTCTATATTGACAGTGTCTGTGTCCGTGACGCAGAAAATTTCCCATGAATCATGAAGATTTCCCAACTACTTTTTATATAATATGAAGCATACATCGTTTCTATTTCGTTTATCTGTAAAATCTAAGTTTTTCTATCATTGGACTGTTTATGTACCAATTAATGGCACCAAATACTGCGAACGGAAGTTCTCGAATTCATTATCACATGGCTGTTGAAATGAGATATTCAGCCAACCTTTTCAGCGTTTACCACGTTATTGTCACTCATTTAAGAGAACGATGCCTTTTTCCCATCAAACCGTTTCATTATATCAGCACTTTTTGCATAATTTCCATTTGCCGTAATTTTTCCGGCATAGGTTGCGCTATTCCCGCTTTATTTTTATGGTGTACACTACTTCAGTACAATCACCGCAATGACTAAGCGTCTAGAGTACTTATTCAGGAATATATCAGCTTTCTCGCAACATTATCTAAGCGTAGTGTGTAGTTTTTACGGGTTTGTCCGAACACATTGAGGATTTCTGGTAGAACTAAAAAAGATTTTCAAATTTACTAGTTAGCTATCTCCAAGAATTCTAAGGCATCTGAATTTTGTGTTCAGCAACACTCACCGTCAGTTTACTTGTGATGTGGTGTCCGCGGAGGATGCCCACTGTCACCATTCCTATTTAACTTCGTTATAGATGTACTAATGGACATAACCTTATATACGTTTGACTTCATCTACTCCATGGAGGTCACCTGGTTGACTTGATGAAGAGGCTGACTCAATGCAGGGTCTTGTAACCGCGTTGAGAAGAAATCTGTGTATGTTCGGCATGCATTTCTTACTTGTCAAATGCAAGGTGATACTTCAGGACTGATCTGTTGCAAGTACTCCCAGTTTATTGATAGGGAGTGAAGTATGGAATGTATCGACTAATTCACCTACTTGGAGGGTTGTATCAGGTAAAACTTGGTCTGGACCTGTCATCTAATTGTTAGTGATCGTTTACACAAACCTCTGGTGAGTCCGCGCACAAACAGTGTTGATGCCTAGCGTAGTTTGATATTTCAACATAATTGATTATTGAAAACTGATGAGAACCTAACACAAGAAAGTGAATCAGTTGGTTACTTTCCTGTGACTTATCAATGTGCCTACTTCAGTCTTACAGGAGGTCAATCGCCTCCCAAGTAGCTCAGTGGTAACGTCTCTGACTCCAGCACTGGGTGGTGCGCATTTGGATCTCAAATGGGACATCAGTTCCTTAGAGGTTTCAGACTCGTCTTGCTGATAAGTGCCACCAAGCAAGAATCCTAGATCCACGGCTTCCTGCCGATTTCCCTCCATCCAACTTAAAATCTCATACTTCGTTGTCTTTCTTTCAAACCTGTATTTCACTACATCTTCATTGCATAATCACTATCAGTTTTTGGGTCGTGGTAGGTTTTGGACCAGAAATCTCCGAGTCATCACCCCGGTAGTCTATCAAACGAGCTAAAATTGTGTTTATAGCATAACATAAACAGTTTTATGCAATTTATTTTATATCATCCTTGTATTTACTTTTTTAGATTTTATTTATAACTGGACAGAAACACTGTTGACGCATAATTACTTCACCTTTCAAAGGAGGGTTATCTCATTGAAAGTAGATATTGAAGAATCGAATTTATTTGATCCCCTTTCTTTTTTCCTTCATCTAATTGTATATGATATAATGAAGAAGAAACGATCAGTTGCAACGGAATTAGTTTCACGTGCTTCATCAGTGTTACCAGCATTTACGGATATATTTGATGAAGAAACATTCTATATATTTTTTGCTTGTCTTGTTGTTATATCTTTTATTGTAGCATTTGGTGTAGCTTGGTATTTTGATGTAACAATTAAAGATGCTGATGAATTGAAATCTTCTAACAAAAGATTTAAAGGACGATCAACTGGTGATAGCAGTAGAATACGATAACTATAACCTTCCTTTCTCTTTCTGTCTGTCTGTCTGTCTGTCTCTCTCTCTCTCTCGTTTGTAATCCGCATATCTCTGTGTCGCATAAAGATGATCCTAATCATTGATAAAGACAAACAATTGATGAGTCCTATGTTTCCTTAGATGCTATTATCATGGAGTGAATAATGTTATATTGTAGTCTCTTTAAAAAACTGATTGTCCTTTTTTTCAGCGTATGCAATAATCTCACGCTTTATGTGCAATATTCCCTAGGCATTTACTAACTTATTGGCATGTTTAAATTTTCTTGTATTTATTTAAGATAATGTGTAATGTGCAATGTAGTGGATTAACGTAGAATTGTTCTTTGAATCATAATTGAATACTATTAAGTAAATTCACATGTTGTTGCCATTTGAATATTTTACACTTATTGGTTTTTATGAACTGTAGTGTCGATAAAATTTTGTGTAACACAGAGTATCACCTGCATTATTGGTAGGATCAATTTTTAGGGAAATGACTTTCTACCAATGGGTTATGGGTTCGAACCCCATTCCGCCTAGTTAGTTTTCGGTAGCCAGATAGTATCACTGGTAGCCTTCACACAGTAGGTGTGGTCTAATGCATGAATGTGGCTGCTATTAGCTATAAGTAACAAAATTATAACATAGTGAGTTCTCAGTCAATACTGAAGCATCCGCATAGGAACCTGTATGCCAAAAGAGACCGATCAATTCAGTACAATATAAGGATCAGTGAGAAGGTACAAATACGATACAGTATGGAATTGTCATCCTGTAATGTTTCAATAAAGTCACTTCCAGAACAATATTGTTACTAGTAATATTATTCAAGGCAATAATGTAAATCAGTCACTTGGTTTTGGACTAGCATCGAATCTAGAATTTAGAATCAGCACAAAGGAGAGCGTAAGTTTGGTGGTGGTAGCGTGATTCATTCAGCTAATACACGAATCTGCAACTCAAGAGGTAAAAATATGAAATACTTTTGTCCACTAAAAACCCCACTTTATATTATGTGACATTTTTCCTTCGCTTTGTTGTTAACTCGGAAAACATTTTAAAAGTGTGTAGGAGTACATAATACGTGAACAGGATATATTTAAATGACTAAAACAAAAGAAAAAATGTGATATATATATTCGATGGAAAATTTTGGTTGCCTAGGGTTCAAGCAGTCTGCTGTTCGAAGTGATGAACTTCATAAGTCTGTATCCATTAAAGTCTAATATGATGTTTCTTTCTTAAACTGCATTCACAATTTATCTTGCTTACACTACTATTTAGTAGTATAAGGAAGGCGATATCTGTTACCTGTTCTCTGTGATGTAATGTCGAATACAGTTAGAATTAAGTGATTCATATATTGAGAATCTTATTTGAAATGATCGAAATTGTGTGAAGTTGGCAGTTTTACTGGCATATCTCTTCATACTCCATACATTGTCTCCACTGTAAGGCACAAAATTCACTTTTACTCATAGTTTCATCTCCAGTCTATCTGTTATTTAAAGGATACTAGTACTCTCTATAATTGGTGCCTGTGGACCACTTTTTCAAAACACAAAATTAAATAATCAATACTGTCTGAAAATCTAAGGTTATCTGGTGTTTATATTTTTTCGTTTTAACAATGGTTGACAAAATACTAAAAAAACTATGGAGATAACCAATCAGATTCTATGATTCATCGAATCTGATAGCATAAAGACTGAAAACGTGGAAACTCTAAACATGATTTAATATGCGTTTAACTTCTCACTTATTACACAGAATAAACCAGAAATTCTAGAGACTTCCTTGAATGTGCACTCTATATTAGGTTGTATATTTGATATACAACACAGTGAATCAGCATTATTTGCTGGATGACATTTTGTGCAGAATTTATTGCTCATAGTCATAGCAGCTACTCTGAGGTTGTAGATACGCTTTACCGACGCATGCCAGCAACCAAGAAGCCTAAGTTGAACATAGCTTCCCACCGATTTCCTCTACCCAATTAATATGTATTCAAATGCACTTCGAAGCTGAGACTTCATAGTCTATCACATTGCCAAATGATAGGTAGAATTCGGTAAACACTCTGGATTAGATAACATAAAAATGGTTGCTCTCTAGTAACCAATCAATATATAAGTGTAAGATTTGTCTAGTCGATATAACACACGCTTAAATGCTATTGGTTAGTGGATGACGTTCCAAGCACAAATTACCACACATAATCACATTAAATTGACATGTGACTGTCATAGTACTCTCACTTCACATTCTTTCTTTTCATTGGTAGTATAATTTTCCATATCTTCGACGTAAGTGTTGCGTTATTCCTAATACAAATATCATTTGATGAACAAAGATTCTATAGTCGAATCATCACCTATTCTAAAGTTGTAGAATACTTAACTAATACTGAAAATAAAGAATGATAAAAATTGCATGTCGAAAGTTGTATCATCACTTTTATGTGATGATGAGAAACAATTTCTGCTCAAAATACAATCCAGTAGATAATATTGTTTCACTGTCTACTATAACAGGTAAATAATCTAATAACATGTAATTATACTTCACCACAGTGCGCAAATTTTAACCCTTCCAATTGGTACACTCACACAATGCAATGCAGCAGTGTTGATCGGTATTGTGTAGTCAAGACTGAATATACAATGGTGAATGCATTGATCGAACCTAATCTGATATCATATTCCGGCAATTAGATGTTATCTTCCAATATTGTTTGTAACTAGGATCGACTGACTGTTTGATAACTATAAAAACAAGTCAGAGAAGGAATCCAAGAGGCAGATGTATAAGATCTAGTAACTGAATAGTAAGAATCATTTATAATTGTAAAATCTGAGAGATGAGATTAAAACAATAAGTAAAGGAAGAGGATGACGAAAAAATGTCGAAATAATAAACACTAACGAGTAAGTAAGAGAGAGATATGAAAGGTGTTACTGAATACATTCTGTAACAATGCACCACCTAACCTCTGGTTTTTCCTCAATAGAGTGCTTTCAGTTTGCTTGGTGGTGGCTAACGGTGTAAACGAAGAAGCGCGTTTCGTCCTATTTAAGACTTCGAGCCCATATACCAAAAGAGGGGGATCAATTTGATCTAGAATAACAACGTGGAATTATGAGTATCAATAAGTAGGATTGTTTTAACTTTGAAAATAGTCAAGCGGTTGATCTAGTCTCATGTAATTTAACCTACATTCACATGCTTAGGCTATTGCATATAAATCTTACAAGTGCATCACTCAGGTCTAAATATATTCTATATTCATAAGTTATTGCCTCATTATAGTGCGTCAGGTTAGGCTAGTGTGTTGAAACTGTATCTGGCTGCAGTCTCTTTTGATCTGCTAATAACTATTACTTGATCTATCTAGAAGCATAAACGCCAAGTCAGTAATAATGTCGAATCTTATAACTATACATTAACGCGAAAATCACCAACGCAGTATTATCCATTGATGTCACAATTTAACGGTGAAAAACCTATGCAATATTTAGGTATATAACAATCTGAATTCGTCATTGCCCTTGTAAGCTTTGTGTGCATTGTATAGCGTATTAACTCTCAAACCCTTGCTTAGTTATTCAATAATAGTTGCTTCACAAATGAATGTTGCTACGATTGGCATAGAAAAGTATTCGAGGATCAACGGTATCGACTTTTCGGGTAAATAGCTGTACAGAAAAACAAAGACCAAATTCTTGCTTCTCTAACTTTGGAATCATCCATGCTGAGAAACTTCAAATAATAATCCTGTGATGTGAGGTTTAACTGAAGAGTTCACGTAACACCTTAGTTTAACTCAAACGCCATTTCGAAATGTTATCATAAAATAGTCATTGCGTGACTAGACCAGGAAGTTCTAATGTAACATAAAATACATTCCAGTGATGGTGACAGATGTTAATGTGGTCGCATAGAGCGTCATGGTTGAGTGAAGACAGTTTCTGTTTCAAAACACATAAATCCGAATCTTGACCACTTAGTAAGCAGAACATTTGTGAAGTAAATTTATTTAGTTTCCACCCTTAGCATAGTAAGCATTACGGAATATTTAAAGGCCAGCTTTTACTCATCTGTGTTTGATTGTGAATGCAACCTGATCACCTGATGATTTCCTAATGGAGTGTACGTTGCCATTATTTTATTTTATAGGCTTCCCTTTTTTTACACTGACATTAAGCCATTTGCGTTGAAGTCATATTATCCACCTACAGTTTCTTTTTCTTTCTCATCTTCTTCGTGAACCTTCAAGAGCTGTAGTGTATCAAAGGCTTAGAGCTACACAACTCAAAGTTATCTCATGACGAAAAATGGTATCTTAAATCACTGCTGATTCATCTGTGTCAAACAGACAGTGTGAAAATAGATCATATGAACGAAGTATAAACTGGTGTGTTATGCTGCCATTAAAGCAACAAATTTGAAGCTAGCAGAAACCAGATAGATTGTTCTGTGTCAAGGTAATTAAACAGGCGTTAGTTTTCAATGTGGAATGGATGCTACACAACCACGTTTCTCGATTATAGATACAGGAAACAATATCTATGTTGGAAATAGTAATTCGTTATCTGATAGGAAAAAAAACAGTCATTTTAAAGATTTTAGGAAATATGCAGAGGTTAGACCAACAGGATTTATTATCAGCATGCGAACTGATTTAAAGTGTAAATATATGAGAATGAAGTTCATGATGGCCTAAATACAAAAGTTAACTGTTTACCATACAGACAGCATATCATGATGTAAAAAATAATCAGAATCGTAATACTCGGAATGTTATTGAGGACCTATAAGTTGAAAAGAAGAGAAAAGGTTCAGAAGTCCATTAAGTCATACAAAAATGCTTCTGTAAAAATTTAACAAAACCGTCAAAGTATGACTAAGCACATAATGTATGTGGAAAAAACAATGTTACCAATGAAGGTGATTTCATCAAAGTAAATCATTTCGAAACAACTTTGTAGCTGTTAGACTCTTCTTCTGGAACTTGCGTTTCTGTCACCGTTACTACTTGTGGCTCATTTAGATGTTGTTGTTTCCTTGATAACCACGGTTTTTGATGTCACCGGCTGCTTTGCTATGAATTTGGACTTCGGTTGCAGAAAGGCTGGTTTGATTCTCTTAATGCTAATAGATCCTTGTCTGCCAGAGCGTTCAGCCGTTATAACGTTTTCTGATTAAGTAACTACCTTCCAAGGCCCCTCATGAGAAGGTTGCCAAGGTGTCATCCACTAAGCTACGGGGTCACAGTAGCCACCTCTTGTACAACCGGTGTTAGTTGTTACTATTTTCTGATATGCTTATAATTCTCCGTTGTTTTACTAGATCGAGATGTTCTACTTCTATTGGTAGGTGGGCTCTTATACGAATGCCTCGATTATGCCTGAATATTAATTATGGTAATTTATTACTAACTTCTCATGCCCACCCTTGTGTGTGTGCTCCGTATCCCTATCCTGGTTTTTGTTGAAGTCCAAGACAAGTTTTTATAAATTACTCTTCAAATGAACACTGCTGTATATGCTTCATGCTGATTTTTATGTCTCCAGTAATTAGCTTCAGAATGGCGGCAAACTGTAAAGTAATTAAGGTTCGTTTAGAAATTTACGTAGTCCTCTTTGTACTCTTTGTTGAATCCTTCTCTGGAAGTTACAGGCAGACCAAGTTCTTTTTTACTGTGTAAACGTTCAGGGTGCTCTGAAGACTTGCTTGCACATATTTCGTCTCGGAGCCTTTCGACTGCGGATTTCAAAATTTTAAACTAGCTAAAACATATTTTTAAGCTAAATAAATACTTTACTTACTCATGATTACGAACCCACCAGCCTTCGTCACTGACGTAGTCATACCAGCACCTCCAAGTTGTGATCTGAATAGTGGTGTAAAATATCACAAGATATTACTCATGAAAGGCTATTTGTGACCACGTTGCTCTGGGATGTAGAGTGAACTGGTGACTTAAATGATACAAGCATTAAGTAAAATTTAGTTTCTTACTGGGCTGGTATACTTCTCATTCTGTTGGATTTTTTCCTGTCATTCACTTGTTACAAATACTTGACGTAGATTACTTGTGGTTAAATACCTCCAGAACGGAAACAGTCATTCAATCTGGGCATAGAATTTAGACAACTCTTAACCATCTCGTTCACTTTAGTAATTCTACGATAAACAGTACTTCTGTGATGTCGACGTTTGTTGGCAGAAGTATCTTATAATTTATGACGTTCAGGATAAATGAATAAAGTTAACTTACTTGGTTTCCGACTTCCACAGGCAATAGCAGAACTGGATTCCATCACTTCAGGTATTTGATGTTTGCAGCTATTGACAATACGGTTTGAAAAACAACGTCGTATGCTGGAACAATGACAGTTAAAAACAACAATGTAGCGAATAATCTCCAAATTGTATTTCAACGTCTTGTAGCATGACATAAGCCTTTGATTTTATGAACGGAGGTGCCTGTGATGAGCAGTGAAATTTAAGTCTGTGGTAGCAAACAGATCCTTTTATATACATGTATCTATCGATTTCGTAATAATAATATTAACATTACTATTATATTTTATATGAACTAGGATCAAGATTGAACCGAACAGTACGGAAAATATTGGGCGCTGAGTAAAAGGCTGAGATTAGATATAATTTGTATTTGTGTAAGTCACAGCGTGTTTGAAATCAAATAGTTCAGACTTTTCGCACGGAAGTATGCTCCAGTCATCAGGGAAACAATTAAAATTAAAAATTACACGGATATATAGATGAATCCAAGGTGGTGTATTTAACCTCTTTGTGTAGTCATTGTCTTTCTAAAATATAACTAATCATTCAAAACTGACTCTAAAGGCCACCCTAACAACAAGTGAAATGACCAATTGAATCTTGTGATTCCATGATAACCCACCTTTTTAGTTGAAATATTGGAATCTGATTGGCTATTTCAGTCGTTGCCAGGGCGACTTTTAGAGTCACTGATCATTCAGTGTGATGCTGGAGTGACTTTAAGTCAGTAAGGTTAAAAAAAATCTCCAAGTATTTAGAAATATCAATGATGGATAGTGGCTAGAAGTGGCATCCAGGATGCTCATTTCGTCCCATCATGGACTCGTCAGTGGGATGTGCCTGCCTTCCAGCAAGTGATGAAACCTCCCCTGGGATTCGGACTTGGAAGCGACCGCTTCGAACTCCAGATCGTCACGTCAACCAGTACACCACGGAGAAACGAGTAGGGCATGGAATTTAGAACAAGACATATAAGCGGAAAATATTGTTTTCAATTAGAACCTCTTCAAGCTTTACTCTAATACAAATGGCATAGTATATTATAAACAGACTCATGGTATAGCTGCAGGCTCACCACTCAGCCCTATTTTAGCTGATATATTTCTTGCCAAACTGGAGAACGGAGCATTGAAGGAGGTCATTAATGAGATGACTGTGTACAACCGTTATATTGACGATGCATTCATAATCCTGGATCAGAATGTGGATAAAAACAAGACTGTTGATAAAATTTAATGGGATGCACCCCGTACTCACTTTCACTTGTGAGGAAGATAATGTGAGTAAACTACACTTCTTGGATGTCTTGCCATTCAGAAGAGAAGATGGTTCACTCAGCCAATGTACAGTACAGTACAAACATTGTCTTAGCCACATACCCATTCGGAACAAACTGAATCCGGTCAAATGTCTAACTAAAAGAGCCAGAAGAATATGTTCAGATTATTTAGTAGAGAAGCAGTTAGAATATATATATGCACAGAGCAAATGGAAGCAAGCCTGGAATTATTGTCGTAAAAAAGGAACCGTTGTTCACGAACTTGAAATTTAATGGGGAAGTAGCCGGAGAAATTTTATATCAGAAACTCTCCTGCAACCATTCAGAGGACTTCCTATGCCGCACAACTCTGTCTATCATCTTCCAGTTGATCAATCACCGTTGCTTAGATAATAGATGAGGTGTCCAGTTTCACCATTTCTATGTGTATTTACAAGTTTAGCTGCTGCTATGGAGAAAGCTATATGTGGTGTACTACTAGACAACTTAACCGACTTGTTGCTGAGAATCTACCTTCAAGGTTGGGGAAGGGACTGTTGAAATCCATCAGACGTTCGGTATTGTCTCACTTCGTTGATAGTAGCCACTTGGTAGATAAGAGAAACGCTTATACGATTATTCACTGCATACCACCTCATCTTTCGAAAGGTATTCAAACTGGTCATTTACACCACATAGCAGAAGCTGTGAGGATTCGAGCTAATAATGTTAGTTTGTGTATCCCGAAGAAATTTGTACATCCCTTATCTCTGCCTTGGCCAGGAAATACCTTATTAATAACTCCATCATTGAATTCTTTCCCTGACCCTTTCTTATTCTTCACTCCCTTCATATACTTACTATCTTTGTTTGGACTTTATTTATACACTTACCTCATCCTCCAGCATTACGTAACTTGCAATTTTCCACATGATCTTTTGATACAATTTGATTATGGGAGTGTCTACATTTTCATTCTGCTTTCTTGATTCTTACCATCATTATCATGTATATTGCAAGTGATTTAGTCGATGCTATCATTTTTATTATTTGTACTATTACCACTATTGTTATTTTTAAAACATCACACTAACTGACAAATCTACATGACTCGTTTAATTATTCTATGCATTATGCTTGTTCAGTTGATAGAACACTGAGCCTGAAACTCGGTAGTCACTAGTTCGAATCTCGCCGCGGTTCAAACCTTCATCTCCCCTTCAATCATCACCCAGTATGAATATATTTTTTAGAGTAAAGCCTGAAGAGGATCTCATTGAAAACAATAAATTCCGCTTATATGTCATGTTCTAATTTACATGATGGGAACTTTTAAAACATGACATTTGTGAAACCATTGTTATTCACTCATGTCAAAGAACATGATAGCAGTAGGCAACATTTTAAGATAATCTTATTAGAATACTGTCACGTACTGATATCATGTATAGTTTGAGCCTGTCTAGATATTTTAATAATAATCATGTCATGCGAAATGAACTGTTTCAATAACTGGAGATAACTTGGCAGGAATGCGGTTAGTATTCAAGATATTACTGTTCATATTTTATTCTTAGCTTACCACCGTACAATCATGGTCCTATCGTGAATAGAGGTATCTGATTAGATTTCAAATTGATTGAAATTACCTCAAATTCTCTGAGAATTTTTGCCACTTTAAAAAAAATTTAATTAGTTTCATTATGACTACTATGTCTAGACAGCTTGAGACTCAACATGATAGTAGTAAATGTCAATATTCTAATAAGATCCTTGAAACTAATGAATTACGTTGGCCTCATTAATTCCTTCCTTATGTTCCTATTTATCGACTTATCTGTTTCAAAATTTCACCTTATAGACAAAAATATGTATCCATTTTTTCAAACGTAACTCATTGTCGTAAGTATGGAATTTGGCTACCGTGGCAGAATGTAATTCCATATTTGACGAGTCATTTCATTTGGATCGTATGCAAATATTAAATTCAGAAAATGTAATTTGGAAGAAATAACCATTATTACGCCTCCTCAAAAACAGTTACAAGATGAATAAAAAAGAACAGAATGCTACGAGTGAACAGCCTATAGAAATGAAAGGAACTGAAATGAATTCCCGTCACCTATAATGTGTGTTTCAGTGTACTACTGAAGGTGGAAAATTGCTATGAGCAGCTTTAATGAGTATAACTATTTCCCTTACTGACAAAATTTAAGTAGTACGAACGCCCTCACAAAATTATTCTATGGCCCTACATTTCGTCCCACGTAGTGATTTTTGGCCTTATAACCAGCCCATTGGACAGACTGGAACAGTAACCCAACATTTATCCGCATATCAGATTCATTGCTTGACACTGGGCCGATTGTTTGTTGCTTTTAAACCTAGAAGCAGATTCTGGTCTTACACTAAGCCCAGCGTTGCCGATTTGCTAATATAAGAGTAAAACTTGTTCAATGTGGTAGAATGTAATTCCATTTTTGTTGATCTATTAGATTTATCACACAGTTGCCCGATTTGGCCCCATAAAATTCTTGTCCAGGTGGAGAAGCCACAAAAAGGCTAAGTGCACAAGCCGCCTAAAAACGGGTGGACTGTATTAGTGTGGAATAAGTTTACGAAGTCCTCATAAGATTTCGTAAACTCTTGAGGCTTTTTTCAACCATTCTTCCCGTACACTGCAAAAAAAAGACATTTACAGAATAAAATGATGTCATTTTATTTCACAGCCTTACACCAGCTGGAAACAGCCTACAAGTGAAATGAAGTATATCTAGTAATAATGACATGACATACTTTAAACATGTAGAAAAAAATGTAGATTTGAAATCCAGGATTCTTAACAGGGTAGTGAGTTAAGTAAAGACAAGATTAATACTCAGATTTTCAGTAAAAATATATGGCAATTTGAATCTGGTGAGATAGAGCATTCTGAAGTTGTGGAAAAGGGATAGACAAAGAACAAACAAAAGCTTCTTATGAGAGGTTATTGAAGAGCTAGTAAGTTACGTAATTATATGAAGAAGATGGAAAATCGTTGGGTGATAAGTGTGTGACATTCCTTTTGTTCCGAAGTTTCGAGAAAGAACACGAGAACCAACGTGAAAGTGCCGCATTGGTTGAACGGATAAAATTCAATAAGATCCTCAAACTTAGAAAGGCCTGGAAATGACCAAGGCCATCGTAAACATATGAAACCCTTGTCTTTTGTATATATCTTTCGACATTGCAATACATCTTCTGTTATCTTACCGCTTTTCCCATTTATCATGAAACCAAGCAACTAACAAGTGGTGGAATTTTAAGATTATTGCTCAACCATATATATATATATATATATATATATATATATATATATATATATATATATATATATATATATCAGTTTATGCCAACTATTCACTGCAAACCAATGCGGCAACCATGAGAGAAATGCAATGAATTTCTCCCTTCCAGACTGCTCCTCTCAATCAGCTTACTTTTCCACCTTAAAGTCACTTAATTTTCCCTTTTTTTCTACTTATCCCCTTTCTTTCCTCCTATTTCAAAATGAAATGTTTATAAGTTACCCCTTCACTTTCACTGATGAATACTTCGAATATAATATTGGAGAAAGCATCAACTTGCCATAAAGGTTTGATATATTGAATTTCTTTTAAAAATGTTCAGTACATGAGATAAACAATTTTAATTAATCTGTACATGATATTACTAATTCTGTACTCAGCATGAAGAACAAGATCTGGATTTTCAACACTGATGCCAGTCAAGTCAGTGCTTCAATGTGGCTCAGAGACATGGCGCGTTACGGAAAGCATTTCCAACAAACCGCAAACATACATCACATCAACAACTGCCGCCTACGCTCGCTCGATACTGAGGATCAGCAGGCCAGGAAGAATAAGCAACGAGGAACTCTCGCCTGGTAAAAAACCAACCAGGAAGCTATTGCTCAACAAATATGCAGAAGAGAACGGAGGTGGATTGGGCTGAACTGGACTTACACTGAGAAGACCTTTCGGGTACAGCACGTGCCAGACCGGGCCCTAGAGTGGAAACCAAATGGGAAACCATGTGTTGGGCGCCTGAGGGTGACAAGGAGGAGATCGTGTGGGAAGAAATGAAAGCTTATGGGCAGTTGTGGAGCCAGGCTGAAAAGACTGCATAGAAGAGAGTGAAATGGTGGTGAGCTGCTGGAGCCCTACGTTCCACTAGGAACCCAAAGGACAAACAATAATAATGTTACTAATTAATTGCTTTGGTGATAGTAGTTTCGCTGCTATACCATGATTTATTCCAGCTGCAGTTGTGTCCGGTTTCAAGTCAGACTAACTGTCCAAGCTTGCGTCCTTCAATACCGTGCCCTGTAGAAGGTAAAGAGCTGCCTAGAAACAATTTTCAGTCCAGTAGTTATTATACCTGTTTCTAAGTTACAGAATTATTCTTTTTCCTTCTTGCTAGTAGTCTATAAAACTGTGGCATCACACACTTCTCCAGAATCAATAGCCTAGCGTTTGACGAGACTCAACACTGATGCTGACCTTGATAGTTTAACTAGACTCACTAAGCTGAAGGCATCCAGTCAAGCGTCCCGGCCATTTGGTACGCTATCGTGTTATGTTTCTCTGCTCATAATCGACCCTCTAGCCAGCTGGTGGGAAGGCAAAGGCATTTTGGTGCGACCTCGCAAATACACTATTCCATCCGACTACGCTATTGTGTTCCTTCTTATACTCGTATTCGTGGGTATACAACAAGTTCGAATAATTGGTGGTTGGCCTTCCCGTCCGTCAAGTTCGTGCCACGACAATTCCTTAAAAGCAAGGAAATGTATATGGTTTAGCTGTATAAGTGTAAAGGCATTTTATTTAAAAAAAAGGTCAACGGTGTGATATGTATGAATACTGACCTATACTTGTCTGTAGCTGGAGTGTTTGGCAAGACTACCTCCATAATCATCAAAGAAGGCTTCTGTAGCGTCATCTAACTTCTGTCTTAGCTCATTCTCCTTCATGTTGGGAGTTGAGATTTTAGCAACTATGATAGCTGAAATGCAAAGTGGTCACCAAAGTATATTCTTACATCAAAGAACCTTGTAGATGCCGCAGTTACTCAATGCCAGCTTCTTAGTTGTTCCCGGCAGTGTATCGTGCTGTGCTAATACTGGATATAACAATCCAGTCAGTGAATACTTCATGAAGTCTTGGGCGTCACAGGTTTTCTTCTTATGCACCTTTGCAGTCTGAAATGCAACATAAGTAAGCTCTTCGTCCCTACAAATGTAAATAGTTTCTAGGAAGGAAAAAATCTGTATCTGTGCCTTTTACAGGTCTTAATAAAGTTACCTAACAGTTAGTAACTGTAGTCACCTATTAATTTGGTTGTTGTGTTGAATGTTATCCAAGTTATATGTTGTAGAAACTGCTGACGATGAAATCAGTGGTTACTGCTTTCGCCAAGTGCGTGATGAAATGAAGTCACCGAAAATCCAACTACCTAGTAGTGAGTGATGTGCGACTGTCAATTAGATTGATATAAGGATAGGTGAACATCACACAGTCTTTTAGGGAACACAAATCCACAGAAATGTAGGCGTGTATCCTGTATCTCATTTCTCGAACCCTGAATACATGTGAGGACAAATAATGCTTACGGTTCTCACTCCTTCCCCAGCGAGGACAAGACAACTTCATCAACATACTTACTGGTGTGATTATGAAGCTTCTATTATTGTAAGTGCCAAGTTAATCGCCTCCATCTAGGAATCTTCAGTTATAGTGCACAATAGTGCTCTAAAAATCACCAAACTCCATGTTTTCCTCATGCGGTAGAGCAGCCCAGTCGGCTTCACACTAAAAACTGTTTCTCAGTGCATACTGGATACCGTTAGATAATTGACGACACTATTCATGCCTTACTTTCAATATGACCTCACCATCTGCCAGCGCGAAATTATCCAGAAGTATAATATTCAATACCAACTTTGTCATTTATTCTTCTCCGTTACCTTAGCGAGTACATCTGTTTCGAAACGTCACTGACTTAACAAAAGTAATCAAAAATTGCTGCCAACGCCACAAGTATTGGCAGCTGACAGGTTTTTGCAACAAACTCCAATAGGAAGGCCCTCATATTTTGACAGCCAACATTTTGTTATTATAGATTACCCATCTCTTACTTGACCTACGCATTTGAGGCCATCCAATCTTTTTCCTGCCTACTCATTGAAATGTGCGGTAACAGTACGTAGATGAAATCTGGCTTTAAAAAGACCTTAAATGCAACTGTCAGTGGAGCCATGGTACTTCACCGTGGACCCAACTATTATGGAACTTTAGGACACTGGTAATGAACGCCGACTCCAGGGCAACAGTGGAAAACAACCGTGGGATATGGAACCCACCGTTCATCTCTATAAGTGATCCCAATATCACAAGACAAACGCTTAGCGTCTACTGAGCGTCCACAAAACAGTTTCCTTATAGTACTGTACAGTACTTCTGGCCACACTGCCCTCACGTTGCGAGTGGGTTAACGAACACGAAACTTTGATGAGTCGACGGAGAGAGAGCCACTGCGACCAAACGAGCGCGAATGTTTCAACGTTTCAACACCACTGGCGGCAACCTTACCACAGTAATGGCCATATCTTTACCACAAGTAAACAGTACTGCAGCTAAGAGTTGAAAAAACTGCTCGAAGGAACCTCACCTATCAACTGCGTCAAACTTAGTAGACCGATAAATGCCTATAGCTCTAGAATGACAGATCCCTCAGCCACCAAAAACTACAGCCACCCCTGTCCTCTGTCAGCAAAATGCAAACCTTACTGGCACATGTAACCAAAATTCCAGCCTGAACGTAAAATATGCTGAAGGGAAACTACAGAGAATAAGGATAACCATGTTCAAGCCTTCTAACCACGGCAACGATTGCCGCTCATGTGGTCTCACAGTGAACAAAAGTGACAGTCATCGAGCTCAGCCCCTGTAACAGGCAGGTGCACTGTTGGTGTGACGAGAACGCACCGGATGGATATTGTGCAACTATAGCGCGTGACTTATTTATGTGAACCAAGTTTACTTGCCCACAGTACTGTCTGAGCCCACTTCTAGGCAGGGGTCTCCCTAGGAAAGGATTAACAGACCCCAGTACTTATCCGACTGCATGCGTCGTCTCAAACCACCACACGAAAAAGAGTTAAAACCAAGTAGAGAAGGAGGCGTGATGTCTTTACGAAAACTTTCCCATCGCAAATGATAGCAAAAATGTTGACCACCGATCTAGCTGTACCATCATACTTGGCATTTCTGTTGGAAACGACAGTCCTCTTGAGGAGGATGATTATCAGAGAAACGTAGGTGGGACGCTGTCTTCTAAACAGTAAAACAGGACAACCTGGTGGCAAAACTATAGCGGATCTATGAAGACAACGATTCACCTCCAGGTGTTCTCCGTTCCGCAAGGGTAATTCTGAGCTGCTCTAAGAAGGTCGACAGATTCCACCTGTTTTCGCACACACTGGTCATCCCTCGTTAATCCAGCTTGAGGGTCGGGGCAGATGGATCCTGGTTGGTAGGGAAAGCATTCCGGTAAGTGCGCATCGGAAAGGAATAATAATAAGTATGGTTATCCATGATGCAAGGGAGCCAGCTGTCGGCCCACAAGAAGAAAGATACGCTTGCGACGTCCGACAACGACAGTGATTATAACATGGATGAAGTCGAATGGAATGGCGAAGGCGAAGACACGTGGTCTCCCATTCCTATTTATTTGACAACAGTGATCTGACGCAGATTGAAAACCACCAGCTTCAGGTTCTGGGACCTCTTGACCAGAGTGCTGCAGATATGGCACACAGTTGGGGACACCATCTGTGAGAATACCCGCTGTTGTGAAAGTAGACCTAGAACACTTCGGCGGAAGTCAACGACAGTTCTTCTTCGCGCTCAGGATACCATTACGTGGGCACGACAAGGACCCGACTGATAACCACCACTCAACCGTGATCACAAAAACCACCCTGGAAAAAAAGCTAACTGAGCTGGTGCTATTAGAACTGGCTGAATGATAACAACTTTAACCACAACACTGTCAGCCACTGCTTAAACACGCCAGGTCGTGACGATGGCCTCTAATTTTCTCACAGAAGTATGAGTGGAATAGGAGGTGAGATAGTGAGGCTGTAGCCTCACTGCCCCTCCATTGCCACGAAAATGGCTATCCCGACAAGAAACTGGTAGTCACCTGATATCACCGGCATCGGGATGAGAACAGATGGCATGCTTCCGTTCAGAAGAGACAGTGAACACAAGGTGGAAGTTGGGAGGTCACATCCGTGAGCCGTCCGTCCAAAGTTAACGAGCTACTGATATTGCGCTGACAGAGCTTTCAGGCTTACTCTGGTGTCACTTTGTGGTCGCCAAAGCCAAGTATCGGTGGCGAAGATTCTATCAACCCACTATTGGCCGCGTAAGACAGTAGCGACAACTACCGCAAGTGATGTCTGCAGTGACGACCATGGGGCATGCTGAGGTCATCAGTGAGGGGACTTTGAAGCCCAAACTCTCGGCTTTTGACAAAAGAGAATAGCTTCGAGCCCGTCATCCGACCGAAAGCTGCTAAACAGCACCAAAAAGATAGGGGTGACAAAATGGTTGGGGGATGGTTTTCACTTCTGGTCCAACAAAAGCTACCAAAGCCGAACTACATTACAACTCTTGACCATCTCCGTTCAGATTTAAAATTCTCTCCTAAGCAGCGATCTTACCCCAGCAGTTTTAGCTCTTGGATTCAGCCAACACAAGTCGTGAGAGGGATCTCATCCTGGTATTCGCCACAGGAACGTAATTTACATAGTGATGAACCACGTTTGTCGAAGGCCCAGCAACCGATGAAATGGCCAACTTTATCGACTTACAGTCTATGAGGGCCAGCAAAGGGAATTTACGAGGCCGCAATCTTCTTAAATGTCTTCTCAGTAGTGATAGCATCTGAGAAGAAGAGCTCATGGCTTGAAGGAGGCATTCGCACGCTTTAAAAGTCAGTATGAAAGATGGCGCAAGTGGAGATTCAAATTATAGTGCCCATGCGGCCTCGGAAAACGGGCGAGACATCAAAGTGTGGGGACAGGAGGCCATTCCAAACAAACCCTGTTTAGAAGCTTGGCACAAACCCCAAGAACCAGGATCGATTCACAGGGGAAGGGAGAAGATTCTAGCTAAGGACCGGGTGGTTCGAGGGGCCAGAACAGACAGAACCTGTCCTTACTAAAGAGTATGAAATCGTTTAGTGATACTTCCAAAAACACACCCAGACACACCCAAAGACACATGGCCAAATCCCGGACAACGTAGTCACTTAACTTACAATCGTCGTCAAAAATAATGGAAAGCCCAGAAGATGACTACTTTGGAGAACATTTAGACAAAAAACAGCACTAGGTGTTGGCCACTATGGCCCTTAAAAAGGTGGGTCCTGGGCCCCAACGTTCTGGCAGTCTGTAAAACCTGGAGGGTGTGCTGGGACCTGCAATTTTGTGTCCAAGAGATGTTTCTAGATCTTGCCAAAATCTTTGACACAATCTGCACGCCATTCCTACGAGCAAAATAAAAACGCTGAGGATCACTGACTGGGTGCTGTTCTGACCAGGGAACTTTAAGGATTTAGTTACAAAAGTCAGCGGGATTCGCACTACTTGCGGGACATCATGGTCTGATGTATCAGCGGGACCAATTACGGGTCCGCATGGGCCCTCTGGTTATTGGCGATTTGATAACGACTGACAAGATACCCAAATACTGAGGCATTACTGGGCGGCAACTTTGGTGGTCCTCGCAGAAACTCAAATGGGGTCACTCACAAAAGGGAAAGATCCTGTGAGTGTTAACACTTCTTGTCCCTTCCGGTTTGCCCCCACTAGAGCACACTACCTGCTGAAGTAGCCACGGATGAATTTATCAACGGCCTGATGGAACAGTTGGGCAACTACGCACTGACACATATTCTGTACTACTCGGTCGGAATGTGTCTAGCCCGAGGCGACTAAATGACGCCTAATCAACCCAGCACTTTCTTGCCTACATACCATCTTCATTCTGTTATCGCCGTCGTTATCAGTTTCACCCAAAATTCAAGTATCCCGTCAGACATCTTACCTCCCCAGTTACAAAATCATCTCTGATATCATTACAACATATCCATGCGTCATGCTAAACATAATCTCCCCTGATGCTGTCGCGCCACCTGGCGATCTTGGATTTAACCTTTCTCATCTAAAATCTCCATGTCCCTGGTTTCTTTTCCGTCTTCGCTGAATTTGCCTACATTTTCGCTCTCATCCTCTTGCTTTTTCTTGTTTGACGCATAATGGAATCGTC